CTTTCAAGTGGCTTTTTATAGCTTACTCAGGTGATGAGCACGTTGAAACAAATGAATACAAATGAAAAAGGCATCTGCTTTGCCAAGGAAATGATATTTATTAGGAGGTTAAAAGGGAGGGCCACGGGGACATCAGAGAGTTCTCTGGGTGAGCATAGGAAGGAACAGACCCCCAGGAAGGAAAGGGTGAGCAGGACAGTCTAGAGTAGTTGGGGAGGCTGCAGGCTTTGGGTGAGTTTCTTCTCTGCCTTACGGGGGCCACTCCAGCCATGCAAATGATGTTTTCAGGCCCCTTTTGTTAAACCAGAGCCAGGTCACAGCTCTGCAGTCCTGGGCCCTGCATCCTTGCTCCTCCAGCATTTCCTAGGTTCTAGCGCACGAAGGAATTGCAGGGCCCACAGCGGGGACGTGGGGCACAGGGTGTGCAGGGGGCAGGAGGAATGCAAGGGGTGCAGGGATTAGAGACACAGGGTCCGATGGACTTGCTGCACGCGTTGGTCGTGGCACAGGGATTGCTGGGCAGACTGGAGACAAAAGAATGATGTGGAAAGGTGAGTTAAGGGAAATTTTAAAATCATATGCCAGAGATATCCCCAAGGGTAAGAATGCCTGTCAGGACTTGGCCTAGCCTAGAACAGAGAAGGCACAGGCTCCCCTGCTACAAAGATAGCTCACATTGTTCATGGTCTCCCTGCCATAGAGCACCAAGGTAGACAGAAACTCTGAAACTCTGACGTCTACTCTCAAATCCGTTCATGCCAAACTGATGACATGGGTTGAGTCATTTACCTTCTCCAAGCCCCAGTTTACTTTCCTATAGATTGGAGGAAATACTGATCCAGCCCACCTGGTGGTAATTATAAGATCAAATCAGGTAGTCTATGGGAATGTACCCACTAGACAATACGGTATTGTAAAAAGTAAGGCATTGATCACATATCATGCAGTCATGCATATTATCATAGTAGAATGCAGACTTGGCAGTGCAATTTCAGTTTGTACCTCAAACAACTCTTGCTACCAAACCATGGCCATATTATGTTGTCTGAGTTCTGTTTGAGCATGTCTAGTGTGAAGGCATAATTTCCTTTCCAAGGTATGCAATCTTTGCATGGTGTCTGAGTATTACACTCACACGTGCACTGCTTCATCAAATACATCTGCCCATGTACTCACTTGCAGTCCTCGCTCTCCAGGAGGCTCCGGTACGTGTTGATCTCACACTCCAGCCGGGCACGCACGTCCAGCAGCACCTGGTACTCCTGGTTCTGCCGCTCCAGGTCACAGCGGATCTCCGCCAGCTGCGACTCCACGTTGGTGATCAGGCTCTGCACCTGGGACAGCTGGGAGCTGTAGCGGGCCTCGCTCTCCGTCAGTGTGTTTTCAAGAGAGTCTCGCTGTGGTGGGGAAGATCAGGAATGTCAGAGTGCTGCTCCTTCAAAGGGTTTCTTCATAGGATTCCAAGGAAGTCAAAAGCTCCAAGAGCTAAGGAGAGTGTGTGGCCCCAAGGGCATCCCCAGGACTCTGCCTCCCAATTTCCCATTGCTCACCAGCAGGTCAGAACAATACACACCAGGTTATGCTGGGCCTGCAGCTCAATCTCCAGGGCATTGACCGTTCGTCTCAGCTCGATGATCTCTGCCTGGTAGGACTGCAGCTGCTCCGAGCTGGATACCACCTGCTTGTTCAGCTCCTCAGTCTGAAACACCCAAGGGGAGAAAGGATCAGACCCTGCCTCTGGGGCCATAGGGTGGGCCTTGGGTCCTGAGTGGCCACGTGCTCAGATGCCCACCTGCGTGGTGAACCATTGCTCCACTTCCCTGCGGTTGGTTTCCACCAGGGCCTCATACTGACTCCTGGTCTCATTTAGCACCCGGTTCAGGTCCACAGTGGGGGCAGCATCTACCTCCACGTTGAGACGGTCTCCAAGCTGGCAGCGCAGGGTGTTGACCTCCTATGGATGCAGAAAGTACAAGAGTTACTATGCTCAGCAAAGAATGGACTCTAAGGAATGGCATTGCTTGTTGAAGCCCTGTTAGTCTGTTCTCTCAGAACAGAAACTTTGAGTGGAGCAGTCTGTGACAGCTCAAGGCACTCCATGTGGCATAGCCCCCTCCCCACTATCTGCTGTGCCATGGCACTTGGCTTCAGAAAAAAATCCCAAAAGTTTGCTTGGATGCCACTGAAGGATGGACTAATTGATGTTCAACTTTCCCAGTTTACAACTGGCTGTGAGGACCTCAGCATGCAAAAAAAAATAAAATTGGCTGTGCAATTTCAGACCGTATATCAAAAAACTCTTGTTGTCAAGTAAGAGATAAGAGCGTATCATGGCCCCTCCCAGGAGAGACAGGAAGAAGCTCACAAACACTCTTCACCAATACTTTGAAAGAGTAGAGACTCACATTTATAAGGTTTGATTTTTTTCTTGGTCTTTGGCAAAAAAAAAAAAGACTTTGCAAAGCAATAACACTGCAATGCTAGGACTCATTCTATAACTGTTGACCAATTTCAAGCACATGGAGCTGCTCTGGGCAACTCAAAGAATGTGCTAGTTTAAAGTGAAAGATGTTTCCTGTCTGGGAACATGAACAGGTCTTATCTCTCTCCAATTTTTCTCTTGCCGTGATGTTTTTAAAGGAAACCCTCAGCCTCGTACTCATACTCTGCATTCTGCTGCCCCTAATCACTAAAGCTACCCTGAGTCAGAGGCTGAGACAGGTTTGTGCATTTCTCATTTCTAGTCTCACCTGCTCATGATTGCTCTTGAGGCACAGCAGCTCCTCCTTCAGGGACTCCACCTGGGCCTCCAGGTCGGACTTGCACAGGGTCAGCTCATCCAGAATCCTGCGCAGACCGTTGATGTCCGACTCCACCAGCTGCCGCAGGGACAGCTCGGTCTGGTACCTGCACAAGGAGCGGGTCAGAGCACTACCTGGTAGATCTTCAACACTCACAGGAATGATTTTTCATAACCTCATGTGCCTTATCTTTCCACTTTCTGTAATGAATAGGCCCAGGAGACAGAGGTTTCTGGAGGCTCCATCAATACCCAATATTCATCCCAAAACAAACAGATTGATGTGAGTCCTCATCTATTTTTGTGATTTCTTTGCTTGGTTCTCCCCAATCCTCTGCAGAATCCTTCACAGCAAGTGGGTAGATCTGTTTTTCAGTACAGCCATGGAAATCCCTTTTCTGTAACTAAAGATTAAACAGAAGAAATGGACACTAGTGCAAATTCCGAACAACTCACTTGGTTCTGAAATCATCCGCAGCCAGCTTGGCGTTGTCGATCTGCACCACAAGCCTGGCATTCTCGGACTTGGTACACAGGATCTGGGGAGTGAGAGGTGGCTTAGTGAGGACTGAAAATAAATATCACATCATCAACTTTTTAAAAATGACTTAAAAAGACATTTTGAAATAAAAGAGGAAGCAAGAATTATGACAGCACAGAAGCAAGAAACACACTTCTCTATCACAGACAGAATCACTGCAAACTCTCTTGCTTGGAGATGACAGCAATGCCCCTCACCTTCTGCTGAAGCTCCTCGATGGTCTTGAAGTAGGACTGGTAGCTGGGGCACAGCAAGGGCTCCTGCTGTTGGGACCGCTCCCGGATGAGGCTCTCCAGCTCCGCGTTGTCCCGCTCCAGCTGACGCACCTTCTCCAGGTAGCTGGCCAGACGGTCATTCAGGAACTGCATGGTCTCCTTCTCGCTGCCATTGAAGGAACCCTCACAGAACCAGTTGCAGTTGCTCACATTGGCAGGGATGTTGCAGGCCCCGGGTAGGGTGCAGCCGTGGCAGCTGGGGGGCACGCAGGGCCGGGAGGAGCAGCTGGTGCGGCAGCTCAGGCTGGGCAGGCAGAAGTTGTAGGGCATGGTGCTGGGAGGGAGGGAGTGAGTGCCTGGCTGAAGACAGAGTCTAAATTCTCCAAGCCACAGAGCTGTGGGTCTCCTTCCTCTAGGGAGCATTTATATCCCACTGCAGAGGGTGTGGACACAGTATGTAATGTCTTTTTTCTTTTTATTTCTTCACTTCTTTTCAAACGCCCTTTCCTTCAGTCTGTTATTTGCCTTCCTCAGAAGAGTCCCTTGTCCCATAAAATTCTTTACTTGGGCTTCTTGCTAAGTCAGGACTCCTCCGCAGACAGTCCACCCATGAAATCAGAGTTCTGTGGTAGGCCTTCAAAGAGGCTACACAGTCCAGCCCAAGTATCTGCCCTCATTAATTGAGGTGTTGATCCATCCAATGACATTCTTTTGTGTCACATAATCCTGCAGGCCCATAAACATACTCATGTCCTGGTCCACCTGCCATTTCTAGGGAGAAACACGGATTGGTTTGAGGAAGAAGTTGCATTAAGAGGCCACAGTGGACTGTGTTTCCCTCTTCATTTAAAGAAGAATCTTCAAATGATGGAGCATTCCATGCCTTGGAAGCCTTAAGGTGGATGACTAGAATCAATGGAGGACATGGTTGAAAATATTAGACAGCAATTTGTGTTTTACGGGTCCATGTAATACTTCCCCGCCAACACCGCATATTACTTAAGAAAATTGTAGAGGAGAGAATTTTAAAGGTAGAGGCTTTGATAACTAGTTTGAGAACAGAGAAGTTTCTGGAGTAAGAGATCATTTTGAAAGAAGGCTGAAAAGTGCAAACTGAGAGAGCCATAAAAAACACACTTAAGGCTGGGCGCAGTGGCTCATGCCTGTAATCCCAGTACCTTGGGAGGCCGAGGCAGGCGGGTCACGAGGTTAAGAGATTGAGACCATCCTGGCCAACATAGTGAAACCCATCTCTACTAAAAATACCAAAAAAATTAGCTGGGTGTGGTGGCAGGCACCTGTAGTCCCAGCTACTCGGGAGGCTGAGGCAGGAGAATGGCGAGAACTCGGAAGGCGGAGCTTGCTGTGAGCTAGGATCCCGCCACTGCACTCCAGCTTGGGTGACAGAGTGAGACTCTGTCTCAAAAAAAAAAAAAAAAAAAAAATTGCATTTAAATGATCTAGGAAAGATATTTAGGGGCAGAGAGAAAGGAATAAGGAGAGAGAAAGGAATAAGGAGGTGTCTGTCAAACATTTCTTCGGGTGTCCGTGGTATCCAAACAGAGTAGATGGATATGTTAGGAAAGTCAGGAGATAGTCCAAAGGGGCCTCCACAGGCATGAAATCACAGGTAGTCGATCTTTAAACTTTATGTGAATTGACCCTATATTCTATAATATATCCATGTTGGTTTTAATGTTTTTAAAAAGCCCCTTTTAAATTTCCAGTTAAACTTTCAAATATTTTGCCCAATTCGCTAAGAGAAATGGATATACCAGGAAGATGTGCTATATTCTATCCTGGGCTTCCCATCTCCAGCCCTACTGTAGATGCCCCCTGCTTTAAGAATCAAAGGTCTAAAGGTACCAAAGGAGGTCTCTGTGGTTGTATAATTAAATCCAAGGACCTGTGCACCGGGAAAGAAAATGCTGAGCACAGCATGAGCAAGGGGGTTTTGCAAGGCAAGCTGGAGTCACTTGGGGTTGCTTTGGGAGGTGAAGGAAGGCACTAGAAGATCTGAGGAAGAGGTAGCCAAAGTTCTGAATATATAAAAGTTGCGTAATTATAGGCACCGTCAGGTACCACCTGCATCTCTGGAGGCAGCACCCCCATCTCCACTGTGGCTTTGGCTGCCAGCCAGAGCTGCCGTTTTATTGACAACTTATTGGAGTGCTTCTCCCATTGAGCTTTCATGATGGTATTCATGTCACACTCTGCTTGGGCCTCAGATAAAAGGTCCTTCATCTACACTCCCCAAGACCATTATCACTGCTTATTATAATGCCATTCAGATGAAAAGCCCCACAGCACTACAAGGAAGATCTAGACTTATAATAAAATCTATACTTCTTTGTTTCCTTGCAAGACAATTAAACATGGAGAAATAGGCGGGTCTACAGGCTGTTACCCTTGAGACTTTCCAGAGGAAGGACGCAAGGCTAGGCGGCAGCTGTCTGTGGGGAGCTTCTGTCTCATTTCATCTGGGCTTGGGGTGAATGGAAAGGCTCATGCATCTGATTGATGAGCACTAGCTTATAGATGACAGCACAGGCCTTCTGCTTCCTAACTCTTGTCAGCCTGCTCCAAGCACTGGCTTTCCAGCAAGCAGCTATTTCCTCAGCCCTTTCTTCTTCCCCAGCCAGGGAGGCTTTAACCTAAGCCCAGACTAAATGCCAGCAGTTTTCTCCAAGCTCTTGGGTCCTATCTACTGACTGGCCGGCATAGCCTCATGGAGACTGTAGTCAAAGAAGAGTGTTTAGGCTCTAAGTATGAGAAGATTCAAGGAATGGATTGACAAGAAAGCAAATATAGAATTTTTGTACAATGCAGAGAGATCAGAAAAATGGAAAGAGATGGAAACGAGGAGAGATAACAAGAAAAAGAAGAGACAAGGAAGAAAGTTGGGAGGGAAGAATCTTCAGAATCATGCAACAAATCAGACAAAGTTAGCCCAGCTTCCAAGGGGCTAACCTGGAGAATGCAAAGCTGAGAAGAAGCCAAGGCAAAATAAGCCAATAGACTGAGGAGTGGCCCACCATGCTGAGTGTCCTGCAAGGCATAAATCGAGTTGACTCAAAAGATCTATGGACACAGGACTGCAGCTTCTGAGGCCTCTGAAAGAAGTGACATTGTTCCAAGATGTCCAGACCAAAGCATCACCTCTGCGATCCAGCTTAAGATTTATTTGTGGCTGAGAAATATACTGCCATCTACACCCAGGCAGTGTAAGGTCTAAAAGGAGCGACACTGCCTGTTCCTGAAGGAATAAGGAGTGGGAAGAGAAGAAAGGAGAAATGAAGCAGGGAGAGTCAGTCCTGCACTGGCTGCAGGTCATGGCCAGTCGGCAGCCACACAGAAGATGCAGAAGAGAACAGGCGACCCCTGTTATCTTCTGGTTACTCCTAGAGATTCCTTTTTCTCCCTGCTGGTTGCCCTGCAGAATGTGAAGTGGCACAAGAATTCAGGATGGGGACCACAGAGAGACTGGCTGGTGAGTAAACACAATGCTGCCATCTCTTGTAAATCTAGCTTCTTTCTTGTAGTGTTTCTAAGATCTCAGTGGGCTTGAGTGAATGTGCTCCTTGAATTAGTGGGGAAAATGGGACCCCAGGGTTGTAAGGTCCCCATGACCTCACACAGGCAAGGGATAGAATTCATGTATTCTCTTAGTTTCCTAGTTGGAATATTTGCAAATTTTTTTCATTCAAGGAGAAATTGAGCAGTCAGTGGGCTATCAAACCCACATTCATTATTTAGTTCAATTTAATTCAGAACACATTTATTACACAGCTTCTCTATGCTGAGCATAAGACTAAACTAAAACAAAAGAATCATAGTTCTGGTGAAAAAAATGTTTTTTATGAACAATTCAGGCCAAGATGGGTCCCCAATATGTATGAGAAGTAGCCAGAAGTTAAGGAGATGAGATATTTAGAAGGTGTAAGATGGACATTTAGAAATATGTTTGTGTTCAATGTAAATAGAAAATGGGTACTGGGCACAGTGGCTTGCATCTGTAATCTCAGCACTTTGGGAGGCTGAGGTGGGAGGATCACTTGAGCCCATGAGTTCAAGACTAGCCTGGGCAACTTAACGAGACCCCATGTCTACAAAAAAATATTAAAAATGAGTTTCAAAATTAGCCGAGCGTGGTGGCACATGCCTGTAATCCCAGCCACTTGGGAGGCTGAGGCAGGAAAATCGCTTGAACCCAGAAGGCGGAGGTTGCAGTGAGCAGATATCATAACATTGCACTCCAGCCTGGGCAACAAGAGTGAAACCCCATCTAAAAAAAATTAAAATAAAATAAAATTTTAAAATGAGCCAGGCTTGGTGGAGCACACTTTAGTCCCAGATGTTCTGGAGGCTGAGGCAGGAGGATTGCTTGAGCCCAGGAATTTGAGGTTACAGTGAGTCAAGATCATGCCACGGCACTCCAACTTGGGCAACAGCAAGACCCCATCTAAAAATTAAAAATAAATAAAAAGAAAAATGTACGTGCGACATTATGGGCATTAGTCACTTGTTGAACATCTACTGTGTGCATCTGCACATCTACAGTCCCAGGGGCGGGGGACATTGTGGGGAGTGGGGGCATGTCATGTCCCCACCACCCGAGAACTCTGAGTCCTGCTAAGCAGACAGGTCCACAGCTAACATAATGTAATGTGATTGGGCCTTCACCCAAAAATATCTCCTTCCCCTACCCACTCCATTTCTTCCTACACCCACCCCTGACCCAAACCCCATTTAGGGCATTCCAATCCAGCTCATGATTTTCAGCCACATGGCGAGGGGATGAAGCCATTTCAGGTTATGCACTTGTATCCCAAAGAGTTGTTTGTGCTTCGCTCTCTAAGTGACTCAAGCAGGATTCAGAGAACTGTTCTCATTAGAATCTTGTTCCCTTTAATAATCTAGTCTTCAGCCAGGCAGGGTAATGAATTGTTTCGGCATCTGGTTCTTGTTGCTTTGCAGACCACAGGAGAGGCAGTGGTGATGGCCCATCTCTTCAGCCCTGTGGCATCCCCACAGGATCCATGGGAGTCAAGGTAAGTTTCAAAGCAAATGAAACATGCTTTTTGCCAGGTGCAGTATAAGAAATCATTCCAGGGATGTGGTGTGGGGCAGAAAAAGAAAAGTAACCACAGTAAATCAAGTAAATTGACAGAGGAAATAGAAAGGGGAATAAGGCTGGTAGAGGGAAACAGAGGGAGTACGCAGTCCTGCTGGTGAGTGGACACAGTTGTGCCCCCTTGAGACCAGAGAGACCTCCTGAGGGCAGAGGGCCTTGGAGACCAATGTGAATCACTGAGGCAGGTTGTATAGGATGTCCAAGAACTAGGGAGGAAGAAGGGAAAGGGACATTTGGATGCAATAACCAGCATCAAACAGGGGAGCCTCCAGGCGATGGCGAAAGGTCAGAAGCTGAGTCTAAAATGCTAATGGAGGACAGCACTGAGAAGATCACCCTTAGCGAGATCCCAGACCCTAGGATGCCTTTCCCGTAAAATCCATCCAGAATTTCAGAGTGGTGTGAATGTGAAGTTGTATCCACATGTACCTCCAGCAAGGCCCTCACAGTTGGGAACAGGGAAAGAGCAGGGGAACAGAAATGAGAAGACTTGGGGTTGGGTGCATGGAGCTGCCCCTCACCTGCCGTGAGGTGCGGAGGGGTCATTTCACCTCCCTACACCTGTACTTCTCCCTCTGCACAATGGGGATTGTGATGCCTGTTCCCCTCTCTCAGGGTTGTTTGGGGCCTCCATTTGGATACAACACAAAGTACTTTAACAAGTACTTTGTAAATGGTGAAACAATGAACATCTATAGATTCTATTTTCCTCCTCCTCTTTCTCAGTAGACAAGGTGGTTTTACAATGGCAGGAGGTGAGTTGAGCTTCTTTGGCAACTCTCAGTTTATTAAAATTACCAGAGTCCTCAAGCTTCAAGATCCTGTGATACTAAAGAACTTTCATTCCTTGTACCACCCTTGGTTGTATAAATTCTCAGAAACGTTTCTTCTAACATAAACATACTCATTTCCTTCAAGGAAAGGAATCAAAACAATTGGGTTATTATGATTCCATCATCCTGTTGACAAAATCTGAGACTTGGCCTCTGTAAAGCACAGTGGTTAAGAGCACAGTTGCCGGAGGCAGGCTGCTTGGCTGGCTTCACCACCTAATAGCTGTGTGACCTTGGGCATGTTACTTAACCTCTCTGAGTCTTGGCTCCTTGTCTGCAAAATGAGGAAACAATAGCATTGGCTTTCTAGGATTGCTGTAATGATTAAATGAGTTTACCCATATGATTGTAGCTATAATGTAAACCAGCGCCTGGCTCATAGTAAGAGTTTGATGGATATATGCTTCTATGACGATGATGATGATGATGAAGCTATATGACTTTATGATGATGATGATGATGATGATTCTGGTGATGGTAATGGTAATGAGGACCTGTGTGGTTTCCAGGGAAACTCTTCACATACAACAAACACACAGACGCGTGTGCACACACACGTACTGTCTTATCAAAGCTAATCTTTTAATTAGAAATGAGAGAGCACTGGATGTGAACTTAAGAAACACAGGTCAATCACCCTGGGGCCCCACTGACTCACTTTATGTCACCAGCAGAATCCCTCAACCACTGAATGACTCACCTTCTCTCTCTCTCCCTTTAATGGGAAGGACAATGCTTGCCTACGCTGTCATGGTGCAAGAATAAGTGGGTTTATTTTGTTAGACAGCTTTGAACTTGTTGGATGAAAGGAGCTATTTAAGTACAAAGGAGGTGAGGGCAGCTGGGTCAGACGCTAAATTAAGACTAATCGAGATCGCTGTTCATTATTGAGAGCTTCTCTTGGGTAGGTGCCCAAAGGGTGTGTCACATGTGCCAAAACACTTTTACCACTTGAGAAAAAGAACAGAGGAAGGGAGGGTGTGGCCACCTCTGACCCTTCCTGGGCTTCCTATGCTGTAAATCCTAATGTCTCTCAAGCAGATCAGTCCTATGTACATGAGCAGTGACCAAAAAGTAGGACGCTGGGCTTGAGAGCAGTTGGAGGCAGAGCAACCAGATTCTCACTTAAGCTCCCTCCAGCCTTGGGGCTAGGGACTGTGATCACTCCGGCACCACAGCTCTGTATCAGGAAGACCTGGATTAAACCAGAACCAGCTGTACTTGTAACTTTTTCAGCAAGCTACAGTGATTCAGAGAATTCACAGAACAGAAAGGGAAGACCAAAACCAACTCCTAAAGTAGGTTTGGTGATTCCACTTCAATGCTTGTGGATTCACTGATCAATAAGACTTATAAAGCAGGGATGCACAGAGTTGTGGGGGCTAGAAGACCTCTTACAGCCATCTCAACCAGCCCCATCAGTTCCCTAAGTGTTCCCCTCAACATCCCCACCAGTGATTCTGAAGCCTCTGCTTGTCTCCAAGGATGGGGAACTCTGCTTCTCTGGCCAGCTGTAATGCTGAATTCTGGGGATGTGCTGATTCTTAGCCATGGATATCAAAATATGGAGCTTTTGATTCATGTTCTATTGTCTACGAATTCCAAGCTGAGCAGTTTCCAGAAGGACTCACCAACGGGAGTTATTGGGGAGATTGGATGGGTCAGCTTGTTTGGGCCTTTCGTCCTAGACTGATAGAAATAACCATCATTTAACATTTTCAGAGTCTTGCAATGTAAAAGAGAAAGGCTCTATCCTGATCTGAAGGTATGAAGGATTCCTCACTGGAGGACATATCAGGAGGGCAAGGTCAGCCCTTTCTGTAGAGGATCTGGCTAGTCAAGGGCTCACTCCTCAAATAAACCCCCTAACCCAGTGGTTCTCAAACTTGAACCAACATCAGAATCACCTGCAAGTCGTGATAAAGCAGACTGCTGGTTCAGAAAGTCAGGGCTGGTGCTCAAGAATGTGCATGTCTAGCAAGTTCTCAGGTAATGCCAGTGCTACCGGCTGGAGGACCACGCTTTAAGAACCACTGCCCTAAACCTTCTCATGTTTAATTTGTTTCCCCCTCAAAGCTTCCAAAGAACAGGCTTTGGATCTGGTTCAAAGAGACTGGGTTTCAAGTCTTGACTCAGCCACCAGCTGAGAATAATAACAGCTGCTGCTTCTTTGCAGGGCTGATGTGGGGCCCTGTGACACAATGTCGGCGAAGCCCCAGCCAGTGCCTTGCTCATAATGGGCATGTCATTCTAAAAGCTCAATTTAAGTTACCTGTCCTGGGGCTTCTGGTTCATGTTCTATTGTCTACAAATTCCAAGCCAGACAGCTGCCAGGACCCACCAGTGGGGCTTACTGGGGAGCTTGGATGGGTCAGGTTGTTTGGGTCTTTCTAGACTGATAGCAATTACCATCACTTAATATTTTCAGAGTTTTGCAGCGGTCTGTGGTGCCGCAGACTTGAGCTCTTCCTTTACACAAGGACCAGGTGGCTTATCCAGATAAAAGGGAAATTTTACTTAGCGTCTATATTTTAAAAGTTCTATCTGTAAATCTGTCTCCAAATACACTCGGTGAAGTCCAAGGTTGGGTATCTCTCCTCTGTGCCACTTTGCCGCGTCCCATTTTTAACTCCAGCCTTCACTGGCTTTGCCATCTCCCAGAACCACTCTGGTGAACCAGCCACAACCCCCGTCTACAGAAGCATGTGGCTCAAAGAGTTCCCAGCAAGGCTCTCAGCATGGGATGGAGATGCTGAGGCCAGACTGCGCTGGGCTCATTCTGCTACAGAAGAAAAGTTTAACAGCAAAATAAAAACAAGGGTTCCTGCCCCATCTCAGAGAGATCAGGAGGCAACAGAAGAGAGAAAATGGTGCACTCGAGACATCTTGAGGGGAAGAAACACAAATTCAGTCACAGGGGCTGAGCTGCTGGACTCAAACACCTATCCACAGAGTGGCACTGTCTCTCTTCAGTCTCCTGCCTGGCTGGCCCCTAAGGAGGCAAGGCCCAGGTAGCAGGCCTGCAGAGCAGAGCCTAACGAGCTGAAGACACCTCCCGTTTCCCAGCACCTTGGGCTGAGGAGTGTGTCAGTATCCAGTTGATGAGCAGAGCCCATGGGTTGCCCGGGAGCAGGGGGCACAGGCTGCTGGAGCTGGACTGGGAGTGCTGAAGGCTGGGGTCGCACATGGGTTGCAGGGAAATCTGCATAGAGAAAAAAGATGTTTGAAACATTGGCATGAGAAGTATGTGAAAGACAAAAGTATATTATAGACACGTTAGAATTAAAGAGCGAAAGAGGACTTTAGACCTTAGAGGTCCCTCTAAGCCTGAAAGGGGCAATGACGTGCCCATAGTCCACAGTGGAGCTGGGGCCAGAACTCAGTGTACCTGTGTACCAGGCCAGGGTCACGTCCCACGTGGAAGGAACACAGCAGAAAGGCAGAAAGGCAGAAAGGCCAGAGGAACAAGAACTGCCCAGATGTCAGCCACTGATTCCATTTAAACACAGCCCCTCATAGTGTTCCTTAGTGCTTAAAGGGGTATATCAGCCCTCTGACCCTTTTCACAGGGAACTAAAATGAAAGAGTAAGTGCACATGCCCTTAGCAATACTTTAAATGCTATCAGCACAAAGAATACTCGTTACTGGAATACTTCTCCTAGAGAGAATTTAGCAAAACCTGAATGTGCTGGGCACTCAGTATTTTAGCCCCCTTTGGGAGTAGCCGGCAACTGGGAGCACAACGTTGTCAGCAAAACAAATGCCATGACCTGAAAACTCCCGCACACCCTCATCTACGTCTAGGCAGGCATTCGCTCACCAGGCCTACTGGTAGCAAGTTTGTCTCCAAAGATGGGATCTGCAATGCCACCCCCACCAGGCCTCCAGAGCTCCTTTTAGGTCATTCCCAAGAGAAGTTATCTGTTTTTGCACACGGTGTTAACATAGACAACAATAGGGCACATACTTGCAGTCCTCACTCTCCAGAAGGTTCCGGTACGTGGCAATCTCATTCTCCAGCCGGGCCTTCACGTCCAGCAGCACCTGGTACTCCTGGTTCTGCCGCTCCAGGTCGGCCCGGATCTCAGACAGCTGTTCCTCCACATTGTTGATGAGGCTCTGCATCTGGGCCAGTTCTGTGCCGTAGCGGTCCTCAGCTTCACACAGGGAGTTCTGTAGACAGTCCTTCTATAATATCAAAGAAAGAAGGAAACAAGTTAAAACTCATGGATCTCTGCCTCCAACCTCTTAAGATTGTGACACCCCAAGACACTGCCAGGTCCATAGTGCAATCTAACTCCCTTTAGCTGTCCTCGGTCAGAATAACTAACACTCTTCGTGGTAGACCTTTAAGATCAGAGCCCTCTGACCTGAATTAATATTGATTCACTCGGCCGGGCGCGGTGGCTCACGCCTGTAATCCCAGCACTTTGGGCGGCCGAGGCGGGTGGATCACGAGGTCAGGAGATCGAGACCATCCTGGCTAACACGGTGAAACCCCGTCTCTACTAAAAATGCAAAAAATTAGCCGGGCGAGGCGGCGGGCGCCTGTAGTCCCAGCTACTCGGGAGGCTGAGGCAGGAGAATGGCGTGAACCCGGGAGGCGGAGCTTGCAGTGAGCTGAGATCGCGCCACTGCACTCCAGCCTGGGCGACTAAGCGAGACTCTGTCTCAAAAAAAAAAATAAAAAAAAAAAGATATTGATTCACTCAACATCCACATCTACAGGGAAGTGCTTAAAAAAGAGATGAAACCAAGGTTTAAGCTGAGTCCGTGGTTGGTGTTTGAGGCCTGTACTGACCCTAGAGAGCTGCTCATGGGTAGTGAGAGCCAAGCTGGGTCTCCCATGCATACAGAGGGACTCACCAGCGTGTGCTGAGCCTGAAGCTCCACCTCCAGGGCGTTCACCGAGCGTCTCAACTCCAGGATCTCCGACTGGCAGCACTGCAGCTCCTCGGAGCAGGACATGGCCTGCAGGCTGATGCCTTCAGACTGGAGCACGGAGAGACACGGTCACCTACCTGCCCAGATGGAGGCCAATCCCCATTGCTTAGCAGTCCCCCTCACCTGGGCTTGGAACCACTGCTCCACATCCTGGCGGTTGGTCTCCACCATGGCCTCATACTGGCCTCGCATCTCCCCCAGCACCCTACTCAGGTCAATGGTGGGCTCAATATCCAGCTCAATCCGGAGCTTGTCTCCCAGCTGACCCCTCAGAGTGCGGGCTTCCTGTAGGCATCAGAGGAGTATGACCCGCCTGCAGATCCCCCCACTGCCCTTCACCCAAACTCTCAACTCCCACTTTCCATCCTCCCCAGTAATTTCCCTGTGCTCCTCTGAAGATAAACCGCTGCCTGCACCAGCCCAGCAGCTTCCAGAAGCTGTGGACGAGAAGCAATCTCCCACCAAAAGCCAGAGCTCACCTGCAAAGCTTCAATCCCAGGCAGAAGGAAGCCTCCATTTTTTCCCCCAGATGAGCCTGAATTCACCTCCAGAAAGTCTCAATGCATCACACCAGGGGTCACACACCTGCTCATGGTTTTTCTTGAGGCAAAGCAGCTCTTCCTTCAGGGACTCCAGCTGGGCCTCCAGGTCACACTTGGCGAGGGTGAGGTTGTCCAGCACCCTGCGCAGGCCACAGATGTCAGCCTCCACCAGCTGGTGCAGCAAGCGCTCTGTCTCATACCTGTAACAGGGAAAGTGCAGGAGTCACAGTTACAGAGCAGGAAGGGGCACCAGGACATGACTCCCAGCTCGCAGCTGTAAGTCCACTGTTCTGCCCTTTGCCGTCTAATCATGAGTTGGTTTTTCCTGTGTAGTGTGCTCAAAGCCCAGAAAGCAACAGGATATTCCCCACTCAGTCAATACTAAGCACCTGAGATGAACCAGGGGGAGCAGCTGGTACTGAGGATACTGTGATGGACACACAGCCAGCACCTGCCTTTACAGACAGATGGCCCAAAAGGGAGGTGGCAAAGTAACCAGGTCTTTGCAACACGGTGGAATCACTGCAGACCCCTCTTCCACAAGCCCCATACTCAAAGGGACCCTGGATTCCCTCTTAGAGTAAAAGCCACATTGCCAGAGTGAGAGGAAGGAAATGGCTTTCTTTTTCTTTTTTTTTTTTTTGAGACGGAGTCTCGTCGCCGGGGCTGGAGTGCAGTGGCCGGATCTCAGCTCACTGCAAGCTCCGCCTCCCGGGTTTATGCCATTCTCCTGCCTCAGCCTCCCGAGTAGCTGGGACTACAGGCGCCCGCCACCTCGCCCGGCTAGTTTTTTGTATTTTTAGTAGAGACGGGGTTTCACCGTGTTAGCCAGGATGGTCTCGATCTCCTGACCTCGTGATCCGCCCGCCCCGGCCTCCCAAAGTACTGGGATTACAGGCTTGAGCCACCGCGCCCGGCCAAGGAAATGGCTTTCTTTAGCTCTAGAAGAGTGAGACTTGCACAGTGCCCTGAAGAAAGATGATAAAACCCAGTGCCCCTTCCAGCACCCAGGGTAGACCCTCCTTAGGTGGTGTCAACCCTTTGACCTTCACATGTTTTTGTCTTAGGCTATGGAGCATGATTTCTGCTATGAATTATCAGCACTCACAAATTAATCAAGCTGCAGCACAGAAACATATCCTTATTAAAGCAACACTTTCTCAGGAAATTGCCTCAATAAAGGAAAATTTGGTACAAAATTTAAGGCCAAGTCCCAGCTCTGCCACTCAGTACCCACATGGTTTTTGGCAAGTCACACCAGCACCCCCAGCCTCAAGGGTCCCCACCTGCAGAGGAGATGCTATCCCTGCCCCCCTGCTTCACAAGTTTCTTACCAGGTGGATGATGCATTCTAGCACATGTTGTAAACTGTTAATGCTAAACCACTGGAGAGTGGATAGTTTTTCAGGATCTTGAGCTTAATGCCTTTTGTTCTCTCCTGCTGTAACTACTGGGTTGGGGTCTGGGTCGATGACATCCGATGCCACATGAGACAGAAGCAGCCAACTTGGCATTGTCCCATCCCCATCCAACCCCAACTCACTTGGCTCCTTCCCATCCCCGTCCAATCCCAACTCACTTGGTCCTGAAGTCATCCGCGGCCAGTTTGGCATTGTCTATTTGCACAACCAGCCTATTGTTCTCCGATTTGGTGCACAGAATCTGGGATAAGAAAATAGGTTCAATAAGTGACTTACTGATCCCAGAGACGCCTATAGCCTCAGGTGAGAGGAAGTTTTATTGGCTGAAGTTGAACCTACAGCATCCCCCTGGACAACACAAACTCCCAAACATGCAAGAGATGTTTTCGTGGTGTGGGAAGAAAGATTTGCAAGAGACTTCTTGGAAAAGGATGAAGACATAGAGTCAAAGGAACCAGGAGATGGAAGACAGTAGCAAACTGAACATATAACAAAGATTTGCTTTCATTTTGCCAGATAGGATGCTTAGCCCAATATAAATAAGAAGATCTGGCCAGGTGCAGTGGCTCACAGCTGTAATCCCAGCACTTTGGGAGGCCAAGGCAGGTGGATCACCTGAGGTCAGGAGTTCGAGACCAGCCTGGCCAATATGGTTAAACCCCATCTCTACTAAAAATACAAAAGTTAGCTAGGAGTGGTGGTGCACGCTTTTAACCCCAGCTACTCAGTAAGCTGATACACGAGAATCACTTGAACCCAGGAGGCAGAGGTTGCAGTGAGCTAAGATTGCACCACTGCACTCCAGCCTGGGTGACAGAGTGAGACGCTGTCTCAAAAACAAACAAACAAACAAAAAAATCCAGAATCTAGGCCACAGAACAGTGGACTAACTGTGAATGTTTTAGATAAAGTAGGATCTGTTCTAAAGAAGTTCTTTCCTCTGGTTGTCCAACCTCCCCACAGGTCTTCTCTGAATCTAGCCAGGTTTCTGTAACCCCCATTTTGACATTCCTTGTCTTCCTGGCTCTGAAACTAAGATGTAGGCTCTTCAGAAGCTTTAGCTGGATAATCAAAGGTGACAACAGATATGCATAAGATGCTGATGCTGTTGTGTGGATAGACACTGCCTTTGCAAGGATGTTAGGAAATACTCCTTTTGCCCTGTTTACTGCACCGGAAGTTTCAGCATACAGCAACTGTCATAAACACAGCACGGTTTTTGCATGGTTTTCATGAAATTAGCATGGTTTTTGTGACTATGATTTAGGGATTTGATGTGCTGAAGTTAAGTAAGCATGAACTCAGAATCCTGGAGAGATAAATTCCACATCTCACGCTTTACAAATTCCCATTCACCTTCACTCAAGAGATTCTCTTCCCACATTTAAAAAATCCACTGCTGACCCAGGGTCAGTAATCTTTTTTTGTAAAGGGTCAGATAGTAAATATTTTAGGCTTTGCAGACCATACAGTCTCCACTACAATGACTGAACTCTGCCACTGTAGTACAAAAGCAGCTGCAGACAACACACAAATGCATGAGCATGGCCATGAACCAATAAAACTTTATTTGCAAAAGCAGGTGGTTGGCCGGATTTGGCCGACAGGCAGTAAGTAGATTCCTGAACCCTGATCTGGTGCACTGCAAACCTCACCTTCTGCTGGAGCTCCTGGATGGTGCAGAAGTAGTACTGGTAGTCCGGGCACATGCTGGACTCATGGCACTTGCTCCTGTCACGGAGTTTGGTCTCCAGTTCTGCATTGTCCCGCTCCAGCTGGCGCACTTTCTCCAGGTAGTTGGCCAGGCGGTCGTTCAGGAACTGCATAGTCTCCTTCTCGTGGCCGTTCAGGGTGTTTTCGCTGTAGGCCCCACAGATTCCAATGTTGCCAGGAATGTGGCAGGTCCCTGGCAAGGGACAAGCGGTGTGGCAGGTTGGGGGCAGACAGAGGCTGGGGCGGCCCAGGGGAGTCGACCCCACACGGACTCGGTTGGCATGTGCCACATTAGCCAAGAGGCACAGGGAGGCAGCGTTGGCCTCTGAAACCTGCTCGCTGAGGAGGGCACTGCAATGGTCAGAAGTCATGGTGCTAAAAGGCGAGATCCTGCTTTGCCCACAGTTGGATCTGCTTGAAACCAAAATCTTCCTCCTCCTGAAGACCTTATATAAGCCTTAGTGGGTGTTGGTGCAAGAAAACTGGCATTTTCCTCATTAATATTTATGTCAATTGTTATACAATCACTCTATTAGTCAGTGGTTTTTGCTTCATATAAAGAGTTAATGAGCTCATGAAAGAGGCCCTAACCTCTTGCTTCCCATCACTGCAGGGTCCTGGAAAACAGAGAAAACAAGGTCTTCTTCAAGCAGCCCACTTTCTGTGGCTGTGGAATCTTTCCCCTTCTGTCAGCTTATGTGTATGAAATAATCAAGAACTAAAGACTCCTAAAATTTCCTGCAAGTCTCTCTCACTCCCACATTCTTTTCCTACCTCTGACTGTTCCCACTGCAGCAAAACCTAAAATATCAGTCAATCAGGCACATTGCAGAAAGGGAAAAATCATGATTTGTTTGTTTTGATAGTTATTTATAGAGTGCCCAGTGTGGGACAAACACACATCTAGGCTGTCTTGTAAGAAGGGGATTTTAGATTTCAATAAGAGAGATAAGAAAGTAAATGATCTTGATATTATAAAGACAGTAAAAGGAGGTATTTTTTTTAAAAGAGAGCTGCAAAGATTTTGAGGTGGAAGAGAGCTCACTGAGAGACCAGAAAAAGACTTCATGGAGTAGGGGATTTTCCAAATGTGTATTGAATTATATTTTCCATAAAACGTTGGGGAGTGAGTTTCTCTCAGAGAGAACAAAATAAACACAATCAAACATTTGGAAAATGGAAAATAGTCTAGTTGTGCCAAGGCATGGCTTACCTTGTCCTGGTGACTTACATCCCTAAGCCCTAGAAAGTTGCATTGAGTCCAGGTTATGAAAAGCCTTGAATGCCAGGACCATGGTCTTGAGGTAAAGGTGAGTGAAAGGTAGGGATCTGCCCTGGAAGATGACTTTCAAGTATAAGGAAAAATAAATAGCCAGGTTCCTTTTGAAGGAAAGTGGCAGAAAAAAGGTGGAAAGTTCCTTCATACAAATTGTTAGAAAACTGAAAGTGAAACCTAAGTTCCAAATTGATCTTGGTTTGTGAAAACTAACACACTTTTTAATACTCCTTGGGTTAAAGAAGAAATCAAATAAAAAAAATTTTAAGTATTTTGAACTGAATTAAAATCAATACACAACCTATAAAACAGATGTTAGCAATTAAGACTTTCCCTGTGCATACGTGAAACAGATAAGCAGTTTGGGGAGTGAGAAAAAAAAGGCTTATAATAAAACTGATGGTTTGCAATTTTCAGGAAATAAAATTATGCTTCTGTGTACTGGAGTCTACAGGCTAATTAAGGCAGGCAGTGATTAACACTTTATGGTGTCTGTTCTCAGGGCCTCACCCACCTTCCCAGGCCTCTTTCCTTTCTGTTGACCCTCTCACCAGATTGAGTCCCTCATCACCCTTGTTTACAGAAGATACATACTCAAGAACTTTGATCTTTCATCTTTTGAAATATTTTTGCATTTCTTTGAAATGCACCTACCTTGATTGTCCATTGCTTGGGAGACTCTAGAACAAAATTTAAATTTCCTTAATCTTCAGACACACTCAGAGCATCAGAAGCTTTATAGCCTCCCTTATTTCTAAAACAAGCCAGTGACCATTTGTTCAATAAACCCTGGAAAAGGGCAGCTAGCCAGCTTCCAGTCTACGCTAACAAAGATGCTACTTTGACCCCATTCCTAAGATGAATGAATTCACCACGAGGGCCCTTGAAGCAGCAAGTGTGTGTTTCAGCCGGCCCTAAAACATAGCATCTCCAGGACGAAAGGGACTTCAGGATCCTCTAGTCTAGTATCTGTTTGCATTAAATCCCCTTTAATGGCCTTCCTCTAACTAGTCATCCAGTCCACCATTTTCCAGGAGAACTCACACCATCAGTTCCTGTGGCTTACAAGCAGCTTCCCACGCTTTGTGCAAGACACTGGTATCCAGAAAATTAACAGCAGCTAGCTCAGCCTTAAGGCACTCACATTATAGAGAATTATTAGAAAGTCTTCACAAATCTACCTTTGTGTTACCTCTCCCTATAGCTTTCTTTGGGTCATTCATTCATTCAACAAACATTTATTGAGTACCTACTCTGTGCCAGCCAGGGACTGAGCCAGAGGCTGGCAATACATTGGCAAGTAAGTCAGAGAGTTGGCCCTGTAGTTCATTTACTCTCCAGTTCTCCCCATGGTGTCCCATACAGGATAAATCTAATCATTCTGCCACATTCTCAGCTCTTTGTGGCAGATGTGAGATTTCTCACTCATGGTTCTGCATTCAGCATGGTTCTAAATCCCCTTGCCATCCCAGGAATATTCCTCTGGACTCGCTCCGTGATGTAACAGTTCCTATCACTCTTAAGTGGGGGCTGTACAGTGGGATTTCTGATGAGTTTAGATTGAAAGGCTGCCAGTAGATGGCCAGAAAATCTTCTTGCCCAGGAGTTTGGTGTAAACCATGCTGGTCCCACTGGCTGTTCAGCCATGACAACCAGTCAGCCACCACTTGGTCCCATATACAGTCAATGAGACCCATGGGGACCCTTCCCTGTAACTCTATACAGATGTGGGTGATATTCTCCAAGGCATGGCTTACCTTGTCCTGGTGACTTACTCTAAGTGTCTGATATTCCTGAACTCCTGTTATACCAAAGCCCTTCTCAAGGGGATGGGGAATGCAGAGATGAAAAGGAGAAATTTCCACCCTCAAAAAGCTGAGAGCAGAAAAAGAGGTCACGTAACTCAGTGGAGGGGTAAGTGACTGGGCCTTAGAGATATAGAGGGGCCATCAAAAAGACTTTGTCTGGAACTTAAGATTGGGAAGACTTGGATGGGCAGGAAAGTGGGAGACAGTTTTCCAGAAAAAGAGGATGAACAGGCCAGGCAAGGTGGCTCATGCCTGTAATCCTAGCACTTTGGGAAGCTGAGGCGAGCGGATCATGAGATCAAGAGATTGAGACCATCCTGGCCAACATGGTGAAACCCCATCTCTACTAAAAATACAAAAATTAGCTGGGTGTGGTGGCGGGCGCCTGTAGTCCCAGCTACTCGGGAGGCTGAGGCAGGAGAATTGCTTGAACCCGGGAGGCGGAGGTTGGAGTGAACCGAGATCGCGCCACTACACTCCAGCCTGGGTGACAAAAAAAAAGAGGATAAACACAAGAAAACACTCAGAAACAGAAGTGGGCTCAGGAGAACTGGGTACAACTTCAGAAATGCAACAGCCAACAACAGGCCTGTCCCAAGTGCTGGATCCCCAAAGAAATGAGTTTGAATGACACAAAACATCAACCCAAAGAGCCAAATTGCATTTCTAAAACCTGTAAGACTGAAGTTTGTACACCTCTATGCTAAAAATATTGTCTGCTTCTATTTTCGTAACATCTCCACCAGCGGTTGTCAAACTTTAACCAGCAACCCCCAGAGGGCTTGCAAAAATGCAGATTTCCAGGCCCCACGCCATAGTTTCTGATTCAAGTGGCCTGGGGTCAGGCCGGGGAGTCTGCATTTCTAACAAGTTCCCATGTGACACTGATGCTGCTCGTCTGGGGACCACCCTTGGAAGACGGAACCACTGCTCCATAGCAATAGACAAGCTTTGTGGTGACTTCATCCTAGGTAAATGAAGCACCGGGTCACAAAACAGGATTTGATGAATTCAAGAGGAGCCCGTGTTTGGATTACGGTACTTCAAATCAGTTAGCATGCAGTTTTCTCCAACGTAAGAAGCAAGTTCTGTTTGTTTTCCTAGTTCGCCCTTCTTTGCGGAGGTTTGTTTTAGGAGGATATCTAGGATGAAGGAGAGAGGAGAGACAAGAAGGAAAATATGAACACTGTGTTGCTTATGCCTGTGGGGAAGAGGCCAGTCCATGTGAAAAACAATGTTTGCAGAGGACAGAGAAAGGTCACATGAAGTAATATTTATTGACATCTATTATGTGCAGAGAACCAAGCTTGGCACTTGGTATACAACATTTTACTTAATTCTCTCTCACACACACACAAATCTATATGCCCAAATTAGATAGACACCTACTATGTGCCACCTACTATGTTATTTGACCACCTACTATGTTATTTGACCACCTACTATGTGCCACCAAATATTATACTATGTGCTTCCCATATCGTCGTGTCTTTTCATCCTTATAACCACACTACAAAACAGTTACAAGTATCCCACTGTAGAGTGAAGAAAACAAAGCTCAGAGCAGTTAGGGAAGTTATCAGAGCTCACAAAGTTGAAATGAAAGTATGGGCCTTGAAATGTCAGCCCAGGTCTGCCTGAGCCTGAAGTCCAAGTGCTTTCTGCTCTGCCCAGTGACCCAGAAAGGGGCAGATAGTGGAGTCTGGACTGAACCGCAGGCCAGCACTCCTAGACGCCAACTGTCCAGCTGGATTTATTCAACAAATAGCTATGAGGTTCCCGCTCTGAACCACACAACTCACCTAAAGAGCTAGAGACAGAACAGAGTCCTCTGGAGGTTTTCGAGCAGATGAAAGAGAGAAAGGAGAAATTTTAGAAGATTAATCCAGTGCCTGTCAACCTAAAATAATCAAAAGGCTCAGGATCTGGTTAAAAGAGTTTTTGCAAGCATGGCACGTGAGAGCCGTCTTCTGGGGACACACGAACACCGAAGAATGGCAATCGGTACTCCCAGTGCGGGGGGAAAGTGAAGATCATTTATATAGGCAGAAATAGAGGTGCCGAACAGAATTACAATGTTTTCCATACAAAGGCTAATGTACAGATGTAAGATCTGATTGACCGCTGTTGATTACACTCTCGTGGGGATGCTTAACATTCTGTTGTAAAGAGGCAGCAGTCACAAGAGCCTCCTTCTCCAATGTCATTTACTCCAGGTTTGAATACAAACAAGGGAGTCTGGTTACTGTGCAACATGTCAACACACAAGTCAGGAAGCAACAGTCCTTGCAGGAGAGAAGAAAAACAGCTATATGGCATGACCCAGTTTCCCAGGCTTAATTTTCACCTTGGCATAATAAATTTAGAAAGCCCTGACATTTCATTTTCTTTGTTTGTTTGTTTGTTTGTTTTGCTTTGCTTTTAGATGGAGTATCGCTCAGTCGCCCAGGCTGGAGTGCAGTGGCACGATCTCGGCTCACTACAACCTCCACCTCCTGGGTTCAAGTGATTCTCCTGCCTCAGCCTCTGACGTAGCTGGGATTATAGGCATGCGCCACCATGCTCGGCTGATTTTTTATTTTTAGTAGAGACAAAGTTTCACCATGTTAGTCAGGCTGGTCTCAAACTCCTGACCTCAGGTGATCCACCCGACTCGGCCTCCCAAAGTGCTGGGATTACAGGCATGAGCCACTGCGCCTGGCCCCATTTTTTTTTTACATGCCCAGTGTGCACCCTAGAGTGGGAACACTCGGTCTCCATTTCGTGTGCCCTCCAGCACGTAATACAGTGTCTTGTACATAGTATTTACTCAATAAATAGAACACAAAAGAGTGACGGGCTGGTGGTATGTGCAGAACAAATCCGGCACAGAAGAGAGAGGGCAGGAGGGGGCTCTTCCAAGAATCCAGGCAGGATGTGATGGATGCCAAAACCAGCCACCAGCAGTGCTGATGGAAAGGAAGGCACAGAGGACATAGATGCTGCAAAAGGACTCACCAGACAGGGCAACTTACTGTACATGGGGTCAAAGGAAGAAGAGAAGCCGAAAGTGGCCCCAAGGTCACCCCCAAGTTCCTAGGACAATTGTGTGCGTCAAGGAAGCTAAGAAGTCAAAGGAAAGAGCTGGCTGGAGCGGGAGAAGCTGCATTCAGGTTTGGAGAGGATAAGTGTGACATGTAGCTACGTGAGACTGGCCTCTAGGGGGTCCTGGGTCACTGAGAAATACTCCTCCTCAGATGCTAAAACATATTTACACCTGGCAGGCAGGTAAAGCAGGTAGGCTTAGCCCAGGGGCTCGTACCTGAATAGGAACAGTGATTCTAACTGGGAGAGTCTGTGTATCACCCCCAACCCCCAGTGGGGATGCAATGTTTGGAATCTCTAAAACAGATGGCAGGGAAGCTATTTTAGTTAGAGGAAGTGTCATTTGAAAACAAGGATAACCTGTATTCGAAATGAGCTGTCTTTTAGTCATGATATGAGTTTGGTATTTACGTTTTTGAAAGTTAAAACATTAAGTGAGAAGGCAAGGTATCTTTATATTCATTAAGTGGGAAGGCATGGTTATGAAACACTGAATTAGGAAGAAAAAAGATAAATTAAAAAAGGTTCACCAAGCTGAGCTCATGAAGATTATTAGTGGCCATGAGAACAGTGAAATTGATTTTGTTCTTGGTCAGGAAGACAAAGAGAAGATGCTGAGAGGAAGGACAGGAGGATGGGGCACACACCATCAGCCTTAGGTATTGTCATGCGCATCCGTGTGAAAAGACCACCAAACAGCTTTGTGTGAGCAACATGGCTGTTTATTTCACCTGGGTGCAGGCGGGCTGAGTCCGAAAAGAGAGTCAGCGAAGGGAGATAAGGGTGGGGCTGTTTTATAGGATTTGGGTAGGTAAAGGAAAATTACAGTCAAAGGGGGGTTGTTCTCTGGCGGGCAGGAGTGGGGGTCACAAGGTGCTCAGTGGGGGAGCTTTTTGAGCCAGGATGAGCCAGGAAAAGAAATTTCACAAGCTAATATCATCAGTTAAGGCAAGGACCGGCCATTTTCACTTCTTTTGTGGTGGCATGTCATTGGTTAAGGCGAGGCAGGGCATTTGCACTTCTTTTGTGATTCTTCGGTTACTTCAGGCCACCTGGGCTTATATGTGCAAGTCATAGGGGATGCAATGGCTTGGCTTGGGCTCAGAGACCTGACAGGTATCACATACCATCGTCTACAAAAAAACTATACAAATAAAAAATGTTCCTGTTCAGGAAAGTCCAGAAATTCACTTGGATCTTCTTGGCTTCCCAGTGTAGACAGTGGTGGGGGCAGGAATGTGCCCTTCCCCAGAGCTCTCTCGGTGACTGCAGTGTCCACCCCAGTGGCCTGCAGCTGTTCATCCTTTCTCCTTTCCACTTTGCTGGAATTTGTGAGAAATGGCATTTGGTGTCAAACAATACATAAGTGCATGGGCCTCATGAGCCCCAACTGGTGTTAACCACACGAAGGCTGGGAAGAAATATCACACGTCAGTGCCCACACAGTGCAGGATTGGTGAACTGAAGATAGACGGGCTCAGCACTAGGTGGCTCAGAACCAGATGTGGCCCCCAACCAAGGAACCAGAAGCCTTGGGGGGAGGAAAATAAGAGACACCTGGTTGCAATTATTGTGGCCAAAGCAAAGCCTATTGGGCCACATTCAGGGCTATAACCATCCAGTCGGTGAGAGTACGTGAGGCAGAGAGGCATAGAATGTCCAGTCGGGAGAATCACTTGCAAGAAGAGATGTCTGGGATTTGGTACCAGAGGGAGCCCTGAGCTCTCAGGCTAGGATAATGAATGTGAGTAAAACCCCCAGGGTCCAGGTGTCCTGACCGGGCTGGTAACCCACCTGCCAGCCTCTAGCCTTCATTTTCTGTGTACCTGAGTGGCACCTCCTGCCACACCTAGCCATGGTACCTAACAGGTAGAGCTTGTCAAGGGTGTGACCTGGCCAAGAAAGGTGGGGACAGGCCGGATCTCCACAACCCCATCACACTGAGGGTTGGTCACAGCCATTTCTTAAAACATGACTCTTGTGGGTTCCTCGTTAGAAGAGCCCACAAGAGCCCACCAAACAGTCTTGTCCTCTGACAGCCCAACGAATGCTTTTTTGGATTCAGTTAGGCTACTTGGAGTGAGAAACAGGCCTCATGACTACAGAAGGTGACTTTTATTACTGCGTATACATGAACAAGGAGTATGACCAAACTTCCCAGCCACCAACATAGAAATCTAGGGCCCCGATGCTGAGAGTGGGTTCTGCTACTGTCTCTTCAGCTCCTTTTTCTCTCTGGGAGGAAGAGACTGTACCTGCTGGTTCCCAGGGAGCCTCAATAAACCGACATCCACTGAACACCTTCTAGATGCCAGGAACATTAGATGCATTACCCCTCAACCACAGTGAGAGGTAAATACAACTATCCTACTTCCACAAACGAGGAATAGGTCTCAAGAGAGTGCAGCGACCTGGCCAACTTCACTCAGCAAGGTGGGTTCAAATCTCACTTCAGAGTCACGAAGGTGGGATTTGAATCCAAGTTTCCCTGACCCTAGAGAAGATCCACCTCCACCACACTATGCTACCACGAAGAAGGACCAGTTTTTCATTGCTCTTTGCACCAGGGCACACGGATGACCTGAGACCCAAGAGTTTCATTCTTCTGGACATACTTGGTGCTTGCCGTAAACTGACTAGCATGGCGCGGGAGGCAGCAGCCTCTCCGGGCTGCTCCTCCACCTGCTCATAACCGCGTCTGGCTAAGAACCACCTCGGCCTGTGCCAGAGCCACATCGGAGAGGCAGGCACGGAGTTGGAGTGCTCTAATGGCAGCAGCAGCCCTCACCGCCAGCACCTCCAAGACAGCAGCAGAATAGACAGCAGATATATCAGTGGCAGCGTCTCTCTGGAGAAAACTACAGCCTGGAAGTGACCCAGGACCAAGACCCCAGTCTCCAGTGCCCAGTCTGGGCCTCTACATTTGGGAGAGTGGGCGGGAACTCCATGGCTCCGTGAAAGGGGCCAACTGGAGTGAGAGGAAAAACTTGGCAACTTGGCCTAGGCAATTCTCAACACGACCTTCCTTTGACAAGATTAGAACGCTAAGTGATGTGATTTTGCTCTTGGACAAAATACCAAGAGGCTGAAGATGCCAAAATCATGGTAGGGACATGTTAGCTCTGAGTTGTTTTGAAAGAATTCAAACTTGGCAACTAGCATCACTTCCTTCCACCAGTCTGTAGGGATCCCTGGGCAAGGTGAATACACATCCAATGTCAGGAAAGGACCTTCATCCAGAGGCCCCAGGGCACCGCAGGGAGCTCCTGGAAGCAAGATGTCAGGGCCAGTGAGGACACAGGACCTGACGACCAGGACTCTCTGACACTTCACACACAACCAACACCAGGGGGACAGCACTTGGTGCAGGAAAGAGGTTTATTGACCATTTAATGCAGGGAACCCAGTGACATTTTAGGAGATTCTGAAACACTGGAATAGAACCAAAAGAACCAAGAAGAGACACTGGGAAAAAGAATCACTTTCGTGGAAGATAATTACAACATTCCAGCAACAACAGAAAATACAGCTTAGAGGCATAGGCGGGGAGACACTCCTTGGAAGTGTCTGCTACCCATTGATTTAGGGAAAATGCCTCAGTGAGTCTGGTCTTTCTGGAAGGAAGACTGAGCAAGGTGAAGGCACTCCTGACCCCAGTGCAACCAGCCTCAACCTCCTGCACAGGAACTTCAGGCCTTCAGAATCATCTCCCCATGCTGGCTCCATGGCCAGAGGAAGACCCACCAGTGACAGGGCCACAGCTTGGACAAGAAGTACAGGAGGCAGGCGTGGAGCAGGGATTGCAGGGGAGTCTGCAGGGAGAGAAAGAAAAAGAGTTACATTAAAAAGATGTTTCAGTGATTGATGGACAAGGGTAAGACCAGGTGAAGGCTGGGCCTGCCACCAACAAGGCACACAGACCAGATAATCTATACCAACAGTTCTTTCATCTGTGTCTTTCCACATCCAGGAGTCCTTGGGGAAGACTTGGTTTAGGGACCTGGCTACCATTTAGAGAACATTTTCTCAATGATCCAGTCTGCACAGACCAGGAGAGGTTAATGAGTCACTGAGCAGGAAAGCACAGGAAGGCTTGTTTATTAAGATGATATCTTCTGCAAGCACTTCCATCACCTCTGAGGAATTGCCTGACAGTCATGTGTGTGGTTTAGGAATTGCCCAGATTACACGTACTTGCAGTCCTCGCTCTCCAGAAGGTTCCGGTACGTGGCAATCTCATTCTCCAGCCGAGCCTTCACATCCAGCAGCACCTGGTACTCCTGGTTCTGCCGCTCCAGGTCGGCCCGGATCTCGGACAGCTGCTCCTCCACATTGCTGATGAGGCTCTGCATCTGGGCCAGCTCCGTGCCGAAGCGGTCCTCAGCTTCACACAGGGAGTTCTGCAGACAGTCCTTCTGTAGTGGGAAATAAGGGGATAAAATGTGCAAGGGCCCCAGGGAAACTGCTAATGCCCCAAACTTTGATGGTGATAACAGGTGGGAGAAACCTGGGCAGTGAGACCTCCAAAATAAAAGGCTACTAGGCCATGGCATGGGGTATTTGCAGTGCAGTGAGGGTGAAGGACACATACCAAGGTGTGCTGGGCTTGGCGCTCCACCTCCAGGGCATTCACCGTGCATCTCAGCTCCAGGATCTCCGACTGGCAGCACTGCAGCTCCTCGGAGCAGGACATGGCCTGCAGGCTGATGCCTTCAGACTAGAGCACAGAGAGACATAGTCACCTCCCTGCCCAGATGGAGGCCAGGTACTCCCCAGCTCTGTACCCCCCCCCATTCACCTGGGCTTGGAACCACTGTTCCACATCCTGGCGGTTGGTCTCCAGCATGGCCTCATACTGAGCCCGCATCTCCCCCAGCACCCTGTTCAGGTCAATGGTGGGCTCAATGTCCAGCTCGATCCGGAGCTTCTCCCCCAGCTGACTCCTCAGAATCTTTACTTCCTGCAGAAAGGAGGAAGGGACAGACAGCCTGTGTGAGGAGGGGACCTTTGATGGAGCAGACAGCACCAGGACCCTGACCCTGCAAGCAGTAGGAGGGGGGTCCCACACACAAGCAAATGGGAAAGTCTTGCTGAGAGTGCAGTGGGGAGAACCCACCTGGACACCTTCCTCGTGCCCAAGGCAAGTCTACACTTTCCACAGAGGCCCTCTGGACCCTCAGACCCCCCTCAGTCCTGCATCCTGATGCCAGCTGAGCCCAGACAATGCTCTGAGAGCCCCGGGGCCAGGGAGCTCCCCTGTCTGCCCAGCACCCTCCCCGGGAGTCTGAGCGGCCAGGGCCACACCTGCTCATGGTTGCTCTTGAGGGACAGCTGCTCCTCCTTCAGGGACTCCTGCTGGGCCTCCAGGTCGGCCTTGGCCAGGGTCGCGTCATCCAGGAGCTTCTGCGTCCCACACTGGTCCGCCTCTACCAGCTGGCGTAGGGAGCGCTCACTCTCCAGCCTTCCATTATGGGAGGTACAGGGTCAACAGGAATGCCCCAAGAGCCCCTCTCGGCTGCCCTGCCTTCCTACCTCCCACACCACCTTGGATGCTCATTTGTTCACGTGGGCAATATACACTATGCTCAACCCTGTAGCTACAGAGTTTGTAGTCAGGACATTATGTCCATTGACTACATGGAAGACTGAGGCTCAGAAGCAAAACATGAGTTTTTCAGAATTCTATGCCCGGTTAATAGTAAATGCAGGGACTCATCCTAAGTGTTCTGACTTCAAATGCAGCCTTTATTCTGCCATAATGGGAGTCATTTGGCCAGGAAAAAAGAATGGCTAAAAATAAGACTCTGGACCTTCAGTTTGCTGCTTTTCCTCTTTAGTTCGTTATTTCTCATTGTTTTCCTGCTTTTCCCATTCATTCAAGCCCAACTCTTGCTACCAAGGAGCTTCAATGACAATTCCTGCAGCTGATGGATTTGGCCAAGAGTCAGTGAGTCTAGCAACAACCTACGCATTGACAGTTTATTTTTGTGATGACTCAATTTTACTTCTGATTGAAAAGCAAAATCCTCTTATCTTCTAGATGTGGGAGAAAATGACATAGGTTCTAACCAATCTAGACTATAGCCCTTCTTTTTCTTTTAATGCTTATATTCTCTTTCCTCCTATATAATGACCATTTCTAGCAATAGGCTAATTTAAGGTTTGGAGAGAAATATTCTTCTAGTCAAAAACTGTTTTTGAACACCTATAATATAGGCTGAGTAATGGGGCAGGCCCCTGGAAATACAGCAGGAGAGAAGTCACACTGGCCCTCCTCGGCCTGACTTACTTGATCCTAAAGTCATCAGCTGCCAGCTTGGCATTGTCAATTTGTACAATCAGCCTGGCATTCTCGGCCTTGCTGCACAGGATCTGAGGAAAACGGAAAGACGGTTCACGCACAAAGCATCATACTCTAAGCTCTCACTCCATGTGTGGTGTCTACGCTCATGTCCAAGAGAAACCAAGAACCCAAAGCTCTCTGGACCTTATGTGGATTCCTCCTGCGAAGGCTTCTGCCTTCTCAGACCCAGCATGCCCAGGTGATCCCACACCTCACCTTCTGCTGGAGCTCCTCGATGGTGCGGAAGTAGGACTGGTAGTCCGGGCACACAGTGGACTCGTGGCACTTGCTCCTCTCGAGGAGTGTGGCCTCCAGCTCCGCGTTCTCCCGCTCCAGCTGGCGCACCTTCTCCAGGTAGTTGGCCAGGCGGTCGTTCAGGAACTGCATGGTCTCCTTCTCATGGCCATTCAGGGTGTTTTTGCCATAGGCCCCACAGATTCCAATGTTGCCTGGAATGTGACAGGTCCCTGGCAAGGGACAAGCATTGTGGCAGGTCGGGGGCAGACAGAGGCTGGGGCGGCCCAGGGGAGTCGACCCCACGCGGACTCGGTTGGCATGTGCCACGTTGGCCAAAAGGCACATGGGGGCAACGCTGGCCTCTGCCCCGGGCTGGCACCCAACGTCGATGGCAGAGACAGAGACATTTCTTGCTCCAGGAGCCATGGTGCAAACCAGAGGGCATGAGGAGCTGCTGTAGGAGGAGGTCATGGTGTAGGGCTGAGACTGCACAGGAGCTTCAGATCAGCTGGGAAGGCTGAGCCACTGAGACTGAGGCCTCCTCTCCTCCCAGCCCTTTTATACCCCGTCCTGGGTGGGTGTTGGCTCCAATGCTTTGACCTCCTGCCTTGATTATCTACCTGTTGTGGTGCCATCATCCTGTTACTCAGCTGCTGAGTTTACCATGAAAAGTTTCTCAGCTCATTAAAGCAATGTTGACAAATCTGAGATGCTTCTTGGCTCTTTGAAATCAGGTTGGCTGTTGGTGGGAAGTCAGAGATTTGTTGTTTCTGCTCAACAAACACCAGCAGTTGATTCAGGCCCCAAATGCTCTCTCTGGACTATGGTCTCTGTGGATGTGGTCACAATGAAGGCCCAAATCTTTCCGTCAGTAATTTGTGCAGCAGGAGAGACAGAGAACCAATGGGACCCAGTGGCTCTTTCGCCTGTGCAAGACTCAATCAGCCTTTCTTTTGAAGAGAAAATATCAGTTAATAAAACCAATGCATCTACTGATATTTGACGATTTTGAGGCGCCTTTTTTTTCTTTCTTCTTTCACATTGCATACTCCCCTGAGAAGCAATAAAACATCCAGAAGCATTGGTGCTAAGTCTTGGTTGACTAGTCAGAATCAGCTATTCATTCATTTGCTCATTCATTCATCGGTTCAGCATGTTTCCTGAATATCCCCCATAACGCAGGCAGTGTTCTGGTTGCTGGACACGCAGTGTTCCGTGTTCATCAGGAGTAAACAATGCCACTGAAATGTCTGGGTGTTCTACACAAACTTGAATGAGAACCATAGATCAACAAGAGTTAGTGAAAGACAGGGGATCTGTACTTCTGGCCAAGGACGTATCTAGAAAGAAACTACTAACAAAGAAAGAAAAATCTTATTTGATCCAGGAAAGGGAGATTGGGCACAGAGCTCAAGCAGTATTCAAACGAAAGGTCCAGAACTAACACTGATTGAGTGCATGGGTGTGCTAGGCCTTCTACTGTGTCCTTTCCCATCTAACCCTTACCACCTATGAGGTGGTTACTCATTGCCTCCATGCACAGACGAGAAAACTAGAGTGAAGTACATTTTCTGATTGACAGTTAGTGAACCGTCAAAGGCTCGATTCAGCCTCATGTCTGCTAGGCTCATTCTCTTTTCACTTCACCATGGCCCCCCGTGAGAACAACAGTGTCATTGCCCCGTCAGTGCTGGGCCTAAGGGGAGGGAGAGAAGAGGCTTAGTTACTGGGCGAGAAATTGTGGTGAAAAGAAAATTACTGAAGGTCTTTATGTTCCAGCAAAGGAAAAGATTTAAATACTATGGCAGTGAGGACAAGAAATGCACATTAAAAAATTAAATGAGGCTGGGCACGGTGGCTCACGCCTGTAATCCCTGCACTTTGGGAGGCCAAGGCGGGTGGATCACCTGAGGTCAGGAGTTCGAGACTAGCCTGACCAACATGGAGAAACCTGGTCTCTACTGAAAATACAAAATTAGCCGGGCATGGTGGTGCATGCCTGTAGTCCCAGCTACTCAGGAGGCTGAAGCAGGAGAATTGCTTGAACCCGGGAGAACCCGGGAGGTGGGAGGTGGAGGTTTCTGTGAGCCAAGATTGTGCCATTGCACTCCAGCCTCAGCAACAAGAGTGAAACTTTGTCTCAAAAAAAAAAAAAAGTTACACTAGTTTGTAACATATGCATCATTTAAGACAGGGTGCGTTCTGAGAAATGTGTTGTTAGGAGATTTCTTCATTGTGGAAACATTATAGAGTGAACTCACATAAACCTAGATGGTAGAGCCTACTACACACTAGACTGTATACAGTACAGCCTATAGTGTCTGGCTGCAAGCCTGTACAGCATGTTGCTGTACTGAGTATCACAGTCAACTGTAACACGGTAGTATTTGTGTATCTGAACATAGAAAATGTAATGTATTGCACTACAACATTATAACCACTTTGACATCACTAGACAATAGGAATTTTCAGCACCATTATAATCTCATGGGACCACCGCCCATATATCTGATCTGTCATTGACAAAAACATTCTGACTGTATATCCCCAATCCCAGAGATCTCCAGTAGAGCTGGAGAACAAGTCAACCAATGATGGGGTGGCCAGGAGTCATCCCTCCCAAGTGGTAGAGGGAAACCAGAAGGACAATGGGACAAACTCTAAAAAGGTATAAATAACCTCTTTTTAAAAAATCCCAATAAGTGGGAAAGTAAATGGTTGATACTAGTAGCAAAACCTTAAATATTTGAAATTGACATACTGGAAATGAGCCATTATTAAGATTTTAAATGAAAATAATAGGATTTAGACATAAAATAGGAAGCAAAATACAGTAAACAGAAATAGTGTAGCCAAATATGCATCAAATATGCATTCCTTTCAGCTACACTTCTGCAAGTTTTAGAAAAATCTTAGAAGAGGGGTGGGTGCAGGTCTTAATGCTGGGAAGCAACAACTTTGGGGGTGAATTTACTTGAATGGATTACAAATTGCATTGTTACACAGCTAAAAAAAACTTTATGTATGAAAAATGATAATAGCCTTACACTGAGTACAAATAATACTTAAAAGCATGTGAAGATGTGAGCATCTGTTATGTTACTTGTAAAAGAAAAAGTTTAGGGTTTTTCCATACGTTATTGGGGTACAGGTGGTATTTTTTCCATGAGTGATGGGATTTTTTTCCCATAAGTATTGGGGTATAGGTGGGTTACATGAGTAAGTTCTTTAGCAGTGATTTGTGAGATTTTGGTACACCCATCACCCAAGCAGTATACACTGCATCCTACTTGTAGTCTTTTATCCCTCACCCCCTCCCCTCCCCGCAAGTTCCCAAAGTCCATTGTATCATTCTTACGCCTTCGCATCCTCATAGCTTAGCTCCCACATATCAGTGAGAATATACGATGTTTGGTTTTCCATTCCTGAGTTACTTCACTTAGAATAATAGTCTCCAATCTCATCAGGTCACTGCGAATGCCATTAATTCATCCTTTTTATGGCTGAGTAGTATTTAATCATATATATGTACCACAGTTCCTTTTTTTTTTTTTTTTTTTTTTAGATAGAGTTTCACTCTTGTAACCCTGGCTGGAGTGCAGTGGCACCATCTCAGCTCACTGCAACCTCCGCCTCCCAGGTTCAAGTGATTCTCCTGCCTCAGCCTCCCGAGTAGCTGGGATTACAGGTGCTGCAACCATGCCCGGCTAATTTTTGTATTTTTAGTAGAGAAAGGATTTCACCATGTTGGCCAGGCTGGTCTTGAACTCCTGACCTCAGATGATCCACCCACCTTGACCTCCCAAAGTGCTGGGATTACAGGTGTGAGCCACTATGCCCGGCCCACAGTTTCTTTATCCACTCGTTGACTGATGGGCATTTGGGTTGGTTCCGCGATTTTGCAATTGTGAATTGTGCTCCTTAAAATGTGTGTGTGCAAGTATGTGTTTTCCGCATAATGACTTCCCTTCCTCTAGAGTAGACACCCAGTGGTGGGATTGCTGGATCAAATGGTAGTTCTACTTTGAGTTCTTTAAGGGATCTGCACACTGTTTTCCATAGTGGCTGTATAGTTTCCATTCCCACCAGCAGTGTAGAAGTGTCCCTTGATCGCCGCACCCACGCCAACATCGACCGTTTTTGATTTTTTGATGATGGTCATTCTTGCAGGAGCAAGGTGGTATTGCATTGTGATTTTGATTTGCATTTCCCTGATCATTAGTGATGTTGAGTATTTTTTTTAAAGTTTATATACATTTCTTTTGAAGTATTGAAAGGAAACTAGTACTTTATATTCTTTATCATATCATGTTTTGTAACTGTTGAATATGTTCCTGTTTATTTTTCTATGTTCTGTTGTGTAGCCTTAAGAAGTGTTTCAAAAAAAAACAAACATATCTGAATGCGTAAAATAAGAGTAAATGCCCTACAAGGTGTGATGCTGCATTATATATAAAACTGTGTGCGTATATTTTTAAAGAGCGTAAATACATCTTTGCTCTGAGAAAAAGTTGAACAAGCATCCCCATGAAAACCACAAGGGAGTCAGGGGATGTGGGTGTTGATGAAACCTGGGCTCTTGGAATTCTCTCAAGAAGATATAAGGGGTCTGGAATTCTTCCCAAGAGAAAAACTCACTCTGGGTCAACTGTGGCTCCAGTGGCCCTGAGGTCAGCCATGACTCATTCTTTACTGGGACAATCCTTAGAGGGCCTCTCCCTGCCAGGCCATCCCTCAGAGGCCTCTGGGTGAAATTTGCATTTTCCATCTTCAAAGACCCCTTTGTTCCTATCTTCCACCTCAACACATAGCATCACTATAATCCAGATAATTGAAGCATTAAAATTGTTCCCTTTGATTTGCTAAATAGGAACCGTCTCTTGACCCTATCCTCTGGCAGGATTTTATCCCATTGGCTAAAATCGTGGTTCCTTCTGTCTCAGAACATATGACACTAGTTATTTCTTAAGCATCACAGCTGAAGTTTTGCATCCTTTGCATCCTGACACGCCTCTCCAGAGCTTGATTTCTGTCTCTGGCTTGGGCTCTGCATGGTCCATTTTGCATAATGACATTGACACTGCCTGTCCTTTGTAAAGCAGAGGGCTCCTCTGATTTTCTTTGGTCTCAGAGGAACTGGCAGTAGGTGGAAGGCATGAGGCAGGTGTCTGGGATATACTCAGCTGTGCAGGTGGGAAAGAGCCCGGGAATACCAGCTGTGAGCGTCTTGATTCCTGAGCCTCTCTTGCTCCTCCTCTTTTCTCTTTTTTTTTTTTTTTTTTTTTTTGCCTTCTGAGCACAAAATCTCCCGCTCTCTCACTCCAGGCTGTAGTGCGATGCACAGTCGCAGCTCATCTGCAACCTCCACCTCCTGGGTCAAATTGATTCCCTGCTGCAGACCACCTTGAGTAGCTGGAATTGGCAGGCACCCACCACGGACACCCCAGCCAATTTTGTATTTTTAGTAGAGAGCGCGGCGTTTCACCATGTGCCAGGCTGGTCTCGAACTCCTGACCTCGTGATTCCACGCACCCTCAACCTCCCAAAGTGCTGCGATTAGGCAAGGGCTTGAGGCCACTGCACCTGCCCTTTTTGCTCCTCTTTAAAAAAGAGCTCCTGGCCCCTTGAAAACAACATATATCCCAAGTTAAGGAAGGGAAGTTTTATCAGAAAAATGAAGAGAGAAGTACGAGAGGTAGTCCCTGTAGCCCTCCCTTCCTTCACAAGGGGCCGACAACCTCCTCTCTTAAGGAGTAAAAGTTTTGAGGCTATAATCATCCCGCCTCCGGCGCGGGCCGTTCCGCCGGGCTGTCCCTCATGCCCCAGAGGGGAAACGCTGGGTCAAACAGCATCACTTGGTGGCCCCGCGCGAACTCAGGATCACGCCTCCCTCGCCAAGCACACCCCTGAGTGAGAGAGAAGCAGAGGGCACTGGGCCCGGTGCCCACAGGGGGAGTCTGATCTGCAGGCCACCCTGCTCCAGCTCAGGGAAAAATTCTGAAAAGAC